GAAACTATTTCGAAGGACTTGTGTGATTTATTTGTAAATTATTATGTACATTGTTGAATAAATATTAGACGATCAAAACTTTTCAACCACCCCACGTATTATTAAACAACTAAATATACGATTAGTACAACGTTGTTAAAACAAATCAATATCTTGGATGTCAACCAAGCGTACTTGTTCCAAACCGCATTTCTTGGATGAGAAATATTATGGACTTTCGGAAATAAAAGAAAGAACTTTCGAACGGAGTAATGGCTTCTCCTACTTGCTGCTATTTAAGTTTTACTACTCACGACCTAGTGTCGATCAGTAGACACTAATCCTGAACAAGTTTCTCCTCTCCAAATAAGAAGTACCGCTTGTGCTAGTACTACAATCAGAGTTACGCAGAGCATATAGGAAGTTTTATCACGTGATAAAATTGTAGAATAGTGATTGGTTGTAGCAGATGATGATCATACGATTTTTGGTCATACGATTTCGCATCAGTAATCTGCATATTACAGTATTAAGATTTTTAATAATATGATTTTAGCTGTCATATTTGTGTGCCAATATTTCTGATCGTATAATTTCAGCCGTATTTCGTATCTACCGTTTTTTAATTCAGTCGTCATGTTTATGAGACTTGCACATATTGTTCCATCAAACATAAGCAAGGAAATGATGACAGATGACGAAATTGTTTCTTCCTTCTTTCCCGCAGAAGAAGAGGAAGGCGATGATGAAAGTAGCTCGAAATCTCTCCTACCGTCTTTAATAAAGATGCAGTAGTCGCACTTGAAACGGCGTTCAACTTCCTTCAACAAGGTGACATAGAAATAAATTACGATAAATAAACTCTAATAGATTTATTTGTTACTGATTAGTATAATTATTTTATTATATTCATGTATTATTGTTTGTAAATTGAAGTAAAGATATTATTCACATAAGCCTCATTATAACGAATATTGCTTGACGCTAGGCCTAACTACGTTATATAGAGGTACCTCACTATACCGGATGTCCCGTTATACCGAATCATGGATGCCTCCCCCGACACTTCGGGTTCGACTGTACGTTATTTCTAATATCAGTACTCACTGCAAGATGACGGTGTCCGATGATTTGTAACATCTATTATTGTTATAGATAAGAGCATTTCTAAAAAAAATTTTCTTTGTACAAATCAAAATGTCAAATATTTCCGTTCAAACAGTCAACAAATGGAGTCCAAAGGACGTAATCGCTTTTCTGGAGTCTGAGAATGCACTGTTTCTCAACAATGACGATATTGAGGCATTCAAAAAAAACAGGGTCGCTGGTTATGGCTTCCTTTTGTTAACTAAATACAAACTGATTTTCTGACATTGATGATTTCTTTCAGGCGATGGTGTTACAAAAACATTCGAACAGTCACGAGAAAAAATTATCAAAATTCGTCAAGAAGCATTGTTGCTTTTTGGATTTAAGTCTCGGGCTAAAGAGCCGCCTGATCTCAATGCTACAATAAAATTTATTAATGCAGTGATAGGAAGTTGGTGTGGTTATACGATCAAGAGTGGGCGAAAAAGAGAGGACCTAAGAATCAACAAACATGGATACAAAGTTATTGGATAGATCGTAAACCCTACAGTGGGACTGGTTTTAATAAAGTCGGGCCCCAACTCTTCCACCATATAATTAGTAGTATAATTAATAGAAAAATATTATGCCTTGGCGTTCTACTGATAAAATTATTGTGGTAGTGTTTGTATTAGTTATTCCAGTAACATCCATTTGATAACAAAAGGTAAAAAGTACGATGCAATGATGGGTATGCGTTATTGAGGAAATGATAGACAGTACTAGTATCATACCGTATGTACAGTGCTTATTTAAGTATCTCATATTGTATTTAACACAGCTTTATTTCAAAAAGTATTTGAAAAGGTACAGTACAGAGCTGAAATCAATTAAATTTATCGTTTACGATTTTGATTGGACTCGTTCACTAGGAGCGGCTGAGAACGAGTATAAGGAATTCCCTTCCGCATCACAATAAACTTGTCTGAATTCGATTAATTTGCTGTATATATTGAATTGAAATACAGTAATAAATTTCACGTGTAGACCAAATCTTACTTTTACCATCTATTGATTTCATACCAGTACAAATATATTAAGGAAACACGCTGATAGAAATTTTAAAAATGTTTCACACGTTTTCTTACAAAGGGGAATGGCGATCTAATTAGACGCGTCGAATATTTTATCTCCCTTTTTATAATTAATACACTCTTCGACTAAGAATTATTATTAGTTGTTGTTCTAATAATATATCTGTTCTTGTGCGTCGTTGTTGCTGTACGGAAGTCTCTATTGCCGTTAGGCCAGCTTACGGAAGCTAAATTAATATCTAGCTGTAGTTAAGCGGATGCTGGAGTATGAGACCAGACAGGAAAGAATCGTTCGATTATCAGTGCAATATTTTATTATTATCTTTTTTATAGATAGAATAGAAGTGAGAGTTTATACCCTAGCAATAGGCGGTATCAGTATAAAGAGCCGCCTGCAAATTTTAGCTACGGCTTAATTGACGCGGGCATGTAAGCAAGACCGCGTTTAGAGCTAAAATTTTGAAACATTGTCATAGTGGATAAAACTTTTTGTAGGAACAGTTTTCCAACTATTTTATAGCAAGGGGGGGGGGGAAGCTTTATACCGCCACTAAATCCAAACTCGAATAAGAATCAATTCTCAAGTGTCGTAGTTACTGCTCTCCCAGGTATACAATATAAACATACAGTGTTATTATCTTCCTACTTAAAAATGCATGAGCTGTGTAAAAGTTCTAACCACTCGACCCAAGTGAACAGTTTTTCATTCCGGTTAATCCAAGACCTAATTCCACCGTGCAGTGACCATGGCCAAGGTAACTTGAACGTTCCGACCATAGAGCAAGACCTGCCACAACGTTTTACATGAGTGTAGTGCTTTGTATACGTACGTAATTGTACTATAAACCGCCGGTTTTGGATCAACATACAGTTGGTTCGCTTTAATTTGCTTTACATTCTCTAATTCAACGGTCCCGGATGATTGGTAATTCTGATTGTAGCATATTCCATATCCCGTTGGTCTAGTGTAACCTATTTAAATCTTATACGTCATTATTATTTTTGCAAACCTTTATTCAACTTGAAAAATAAAGTTAACTTTCTCATCTAAGCTTTCTACGAATAAAGTTTTATACGCCCCCTGACTTCCAAACACTATTAAAGGTGCCAAGCCTTATTTTTAATAACAAAAAGCATTATCCCAAATCGAACTGTATGCTCTTACATCTCCGGTACTGTTCTATGTAGGTTTCTCTTTATTTGTTATTACGACTCGACACCGTTTAAACCATTTCTTTCTATTGTCCTATGAATAATAATTTTCTATTTTCAGCAAGACTAATAAATAAAGTCTCTTAATAATCATGTTGTCAAAACATCCAGTAACTCCCTCGCTTGACTATAAAGAATTTAATCTGCAAGTTCTTCCTTACAAAATTTCTTTATGACAAAATAGTTCCATGCTACAGATATCGCAAACGCAACGTAAAGTTCGCGGCGACTTGCTATTTTTATTTTCTGAAAAGCATTTAAACTTGGATCTACGGTGAGAAACTCCAAAAGAAGACAACGTGGTAAATTTTTACTTGCCGATCATTATATATGCTTTTGCACTTGAAATGGTAACAGAATAACTCACATTCTCAGTTGATCGTCCGTGCGACACCCATTGGTCCCCCCACATTTGTCTTTGCTTTTATTATCCCGGCCTCAACCCTTAATTCTTTACAGTACAAAACGATGCCGACTCCCGCCACACAAAAATCTAACGCCAAGTTAGAAGAGTCAAACAAAAAGCAGGGCTCCAGGGCTCCTCCCAAACCAAATGACAAGGCCTTTAGAACCGCTCTTGACGAAAATAGAGCAAAGATTGACAAGTTACAAGAGCAACTGGTGAGTTTTTATTCTGGTTCCGGCCAAAGCGAGGCTTGAAAGCTAATCCCTGAGCATGCTGGCTCTGTTTAAAGCTAACTGAATACATGCATGTCTCACAAGAAGTAGCATACATCTTCGCTATGTGTTAGATTGAAACATCAGAGGAGCAAAACGAACTTCTCTTATTCCACCCCCCCAAAATCTGGTCTTCGAGACCAGATTTTAGTACGTAACTGAATCTAACGAAATATTTTACATTTGTGATTTTTTTTGCCGGTTTGATAGGATAAATTAAATGAAAAAATTAACAATGAAATGAATAACGATCCAATCGGTCGGAAACGTGATGAGCTTAAAAAACAACTGGATGAGATTCGTGATAAGCAAGCGCTTCATAAGCAAGCAAGAAGTTCTACCTTTGAGAAAATTAAGGTTTTAAACGATGCTATGAATAAAAAGGTACTGAAATCGGCGTTTGCATTGTCATTCTGTAATATGGACTTCTCCCCTCATCAAGTATATATATATTTGCAGAAGCGTGATGTCAAAGTTGGCAAGGATAAGATGCAGTTCAGGACGGTCAAGGACATTGATCTTCATATCCAGTAAGTTGTGGTGTTTTGTTACTGTTTGAGAAGCATATTCCTTCCTTGCTTTCGTTCGTTTATACAATATTTGGCTCATCTACTTTCATTCTTATTCTTGACAACTCCAAAAGGAATCTAGAGAGACAAGTCGAATCTGGCGAATTGAAGATTATAGAAGAAAAACGAATTATATCTGAAATATCCAACCTCAGGAAAGCCAAGAAATCCGTTGAACAGTTTGAAGTTCAACAAAACTCCATCGAAGCGGATCAAAAGGCGATTGACGATATCAAAAAGACGCTTCAAGATACCGATTCGAGACAACTCAGTGCAGAATACGACAAGATAAAAGCAGAACTTGACCTTCTCTACAAAAATCAATCAGAGCAACACGAAAAACGTCAAAAGCTTTTTGACGAAAGAAAAAGACTCAAGAACCAGATTAACGCAGAGTATGAAAGAAAACATACTTTGCACGATAATTACAACAAGGCCAAGCAGCAGTACTATGAATGGTTTGATGAAAAGAAAGCAGAAGATGAAGCAACGCAAATGGCCGAGAAAGCCCAGCAACTGCGTGAAGAAGCAGCTTTTCCAGCTTTCGAAGCAGAAATATTGTTATGTACCAACCTTATCCACTTTTTCCAGACCAACTATGGGATACACAAAACTGTTGTCGAGCCCACTACTGAAACTTCTCCTGCTACTTCAAACGTTCGTGCCGCTGATACAACTGCCAATGTACCAGAGGGTGTAATGTTGGTGAAAAAAGAAGATAGAGACGATGATTACTTTGTCGGAAACAAAGAAACCAAGAAGAAGAGAAACAAACAAGAAAAGAAAAGTCAAAAAAATAATTCGTGCCAACTCGATATTAGCATTATGGATCAATTATACAGTGTCGATGTCGAGGTTCCCACAAACGTGAACGATATAGAGAAAACTATCGAAGCTTTGATTGCCAAGAAGCAATATTATACAGAAAACCAAGAGAGAATCACCGAGGAAAACATCGAAAAGGTTGAAGCTAAAATTGCTGCAATGAAAACAAAAGATCAGCCCGAGAATGGCAAGAAGACGAATGTTGAAGGGGGTGATATCAAAAAGTCGGTTAATGTAGTTACTCCTGAGGCTTCTGCTGCCACAGAGACTAAAGAGGAAGTCAAGTGAAATTTTGGTCATTTCTCGGCGCCTCGCATCTTGCTGCTGATAGTGAAAACACATTTAATATATGATATTCAAATGAACTATCGTTCAATATTTTCATATGCTTATTTAATTACTTATAGAATTCGGTTTTTATTAGACTTTTATCTTTTGATGATTAGAAAAAAAATTTTTTTTTTTAATATAAATACTTGAAATATTTATTCAAGATGGGCGCGAGATAATCATCGTGAATAGAAAAATAAATAAAAACCAATAATTTGCGATAGCGAGTAGGTGTTGATGAGCTCTGCATGCAAAACTCAAGAACAAGAGATATATTGTATATATAGTTTGTAAATATACGTTTATTGATTGGTCGAACTATTATCTTAAAAATTCAAAGTCGCTCTTCCCGATCGAACATCCATTGGACAGCTTCAAAGACATGCTGAGCGACATAGTCCGCCGGAAATTTCGAGTCATTGTCCTTTCCCTGAAATACACCCGTACGTACAAGAATCGAAGTCCAATTGTGGGCATTGGCACCAGCGATATCTGATAACGAAACAAAAGCATTATATGAACGACCGTGACGAGCATTAACACGAGTGTTATGGGCTAGGCTAGGCACTAACCTGCTGCAGGATTATCGCCGACAGCTATTCCCGTTTCATGAAAAAGCACATCTTAGTATCTAGACAGTTTGTAGCAAATGGATAAGATCGAGATAAATTTATCGAGTATTTACCATAAATATGTCTTATGCCTTTATGGTCCGTATCTTTGAATAAGCTTGCAGCTTGGCTTTCAAGGCTAGCTTCTGCATATCGATATGTAGGAGTCTCTGGCTTACCAAAGAGTTCATACTTTAATGTTTTCCCCGTCATCTCCTGTAAATAATTTGATAACAAAATTACTATACACGAAAACCCTATCCGCAGTCACATCGTTCTTAACAACACTTTACCCGAAATATTGTTTCTAGAAGCATTTTAAAGCAACCTTGGGTAACCCGAGGTATTAAGAAATCGTTGGACCAGATCTTTTGTTGCATTCACGCTACAGTCAATTAAACAATACCAAAACAAGTACAAAAGGATGGTGAATGACTTTTTTTTTTCTGCTTACGAAATCAGGATTGGTGAAGTAAAGAGGCGTTTGATGGGAAGCCAATTCGGTATCATCGGCAAGTGTTCCAATATAGCCATCTTTAGAGCGTAATACATCCAGCATAATTTGCAAGTCTCGACCCCCTTTGCAATACAACAAATAGTTAGATCATGAGCCGTAAAACAACAATCCAACATAATAAGTACGTACAATCCCTCGAGTCGTTGAACATCATAATCGCCTCAATTGGTTCACGCGAAAAGTCCACCTTCTAATGACGAACAAGCATGATATTTTAGTGGACGTTTCATGTTAATAAATACATAGAAAATCAGATTCCCTCTGACTTTGGCTTCTCGTAAATGTTCCTCATTCAAGCTGCCGAAAGGCCAAATACTTGGATTCCATGCAAATATATCGGTTGGTATGACAACATTTTTAAAGCCATATCTATCATACGAAAAAGACGCGTAAAAGATAAACGAGTAAGCAACACATGAACAAACAAGACCGAAACATTTTCCATGGATATTGCTTACTCTATAGCGACTTGTCTGCATAATTGACCGACACCACCTACAACCAAGATATGAGCATCGCGATATCTTGACACCAACGAGCGCACAGGAGAATGTGATAATACGATTTGAGATGGAGAGATCTTTTCAGAGAAAAGAAAGTTAGTGACGAGTATTTTTTTTCTGGTAATGTGATGAATGGTAATAGTTTAATTGGACGGCTAATATTCACCGGAACTTCAAAGAGACGCGATAATTGATGGGCCTTGGCCGATTCGGACGTACCGCCGCCATTTGTCAGCAAGATAAAGGGAATCTTTCTTCAATGCAGGGGACAATTAACATTAAAAGTTCAAGAAACGACAAGTTCAACGAGAGTAGCCGGGTATTTCCATTTGGTTGTATGATGTATTATACGTACTTTCTCAACGCGTTATCTCCATTCAAAAAACGCAGAGCTTGCTTAGTCTCTGGTATGACATAATTACCCTAGAGTAAAAGCTAAAATCGGTTAAGCAAGTTTGTATTGGGCCAGTCGGACCGAGAGCTAAAATTTGAAGTTTTTGAATGCTAACAGTATGAGGGCAAAACCTTGATTAAGACACCGTCCATATCCAAGCATATGCCATAAGGACGCGCCTGAGTGCTGTATTGACGACCAACTGTCAATTTCCTGAGGAAAGTATTCTTGCAACAAACTCTTCTAAAGAGCATGGTGCAAGAAAATTCAGGAACAAAATAAGCTGATGATCAATCAGGCCAATAAATGTTTGGTAGATGTTGCATGAAATCTATTTCTGTGCACTTTTCTAATGTGTGATTGTGGGGTAACTTTCGTTTCACAGCATACAACAGGGTCAGAAAAAAGATAACGCCACAAGGAATTTTTCGGGTTGGAATCTAGTTTATTTATGGCACGGAGAGCACTTAAACATATGCAGGACATTTTCTAGTTTAAATGCTGGTATTTTACAATGTCATAACACAAATGTTGAATTAATTTGGAAACTGCAGTATGCAGGCATTGAGGAACACCTGACAATACGACATTGACACAGTAAAACATTTATTCGTCTAGTTTTTTGTTATGGTTAATAATACAACATGCCAATTATTGCCCCAACTAAATACACATAGTCCAAATATACAATACATGAATCGGTTATTATGTAACTCCAACTCCAAACCCAGTGCGTGGTCTATGAGCCTCGGATGCAGAAGACTTGGGAATAGGAATTGCCAGTGACCTCTTCGAGGCTCCACCTGAATCAAAGGACTGTTGTGGTGGAGACTTTGATCTTGTTCGATGTTGTTGATAGGATTTTTTTTTTAGGTTTTGTGTGGAATAAGAATTGTTGCTGTTGTTGCCGATGCTGTTGCTGCTACTACTGCTGACGCTATTGTTGTTACTATCGTTGTTGGTGTTATTGTAATGGTAATGGTTATGGTAACTATGATCGTCGAGACTAGAGCGACTGCTGTTGTTTTCCTCGTAAGAAGTATGATTTGGCATGGTACAAATATGTGGAATAAATTTACGAAAATGAGAGATCTGTTGATTCGACGTTGATATCAACGCCAAAATGAGATATTTCAGATTGGGCAGAGTATGTCGAAGGTCCATAACAAGCAGTCCTTGAGAATTCATTAACTGTAATCGATTAAAAAACAAACAAATTGTCAATTTGGATATATAAACTATTGAAAGACACTCAATAACAAGTAGCATTTCAAGTACCTGCTCAATATTCTTGTTTAAAAGGAAAACACCATACTCAAATCGATAACGATCGACCCCTCTAGCAAATAACGGAAACCTATTCAATAAAGAATTACAAAATACGATATTAGACAATGTGACAAAAAATTTCATGGCAAGAGAGAACCATCGAACAACAGGACAAGAATCTGTTATCGAGACGAGTTGAAAAGTTTTTCAAGCATATTTACAGGGCTCCAAGTTGATTGTTGTCGACAAGACGTATCTCTCCACCCTCATAGAAATCAACGTAGAGCCAATCTACTAGATACAGTAGAGGAGCAACAACCGCCATATGTCCACTGATGTAACCCCTGAGGTGTTTAATTATACACGAGGATATGAATATATTTGAATCTTTTCCCTCGAGTAGTCAATCAACCTGGAGCGACTGTTCCATGTGTTAACTTACTGTCTGGGGGCCGGTATTGATGCTGAAATTGGATCTCTTATGGATGACCGAGAAGACATGGGCGTTATCGGGAAACGCAGAGGAATTTCGAGATAATATGCAATCATACGGACCAGATGACATGTAAAACCGAGCGCCGTGGCTATACGCTCATCATCGAATCCATGAAACGCAGAATTAGGAAGCGAATAATCTCTGATAGTGAACACAAGTGTCCCTGGTTCCGCCTGAAGGGAGGGGGAAGGAAAAGAGAAATCGATCGAGTGTTTCAGTATTGTAAAAAAGCTAGTTAAATGATTACAAGTAATATTCCATGATTATATAACAAATTCCTAAAATATGCATGACGATTAGGAAGACCGTGTGCAATTATTTTCTATACTCACCGGCTCAATTGGATATATGCTGAGCAGATCAGCAATCAACTCCCTCTGACGATCACAAAGTCTCGACGAAGTAGCTGATAAGGCCTCGCTAAGAACATGGACCTTGTTCAATACGACCATCTGAAAGAAAGATTCACTAAATTTCAAAAACTAACCGCAGACTAAGCAAACAAACCGATCTCGTTCCAATTTTCTTAAGCTTTCCTCCAAATATTCATTTCCAGTATGATATCTTTTTCTCGCCTCTTCCATAGCAGCCGCACGGGTCCGTAGATTCTCACGAAGTTCGTCTATACGTCTGTGGTCTGTGTTTTTTAATCGACAAACAGAATCAATAAAAACTGAAAAGGGACAACAAAAGAGAGGGTTTATGAGAAAATGATGATAGTAACCTTGTTCTAATTCTTTCGTTTCCTTTTCAATCTGCTTTTCATATCTGCTCAGCCGTAAAGCGGCCGTACTTCTTTCACGTTGCTAAAGGAAATCCCATCATTAGACAGATTTACTCTCTGGAATATATGATAATATAAAAGTGGCAAGTAGTGTATCAAAACATACCATAACCAGTTTTTGCTCCTCGCACTTTAGAACCTGTTCAATGTTCTCCATCACTTCGTCGCGCGACCTCTGCATATCTCTTAGGCAACTCTCTACTTCGCCCAACCTACAGATAAACAAAAGACTGTTAATTAAATACACTGAGAACATGACTGGAACTGCCTTTTCTCTTCCTTACCTCAAAAGAGAGCTGAACGTATATGACTGCTTGGCCTGAATCATATGTGTGACCTTCTTAGTTAGGCGTAAGAAGAAACGTAGTAAACGGGATATATAATTCATTCAGTGACAAACCCTGGATGGTTTAAGCTCATGTCGCGTCCGTTCCGACTCCATATGCGTGTGAACATGGAGTAAATAGTTTTCTTCAACACTATTGATTCTCTCTAAAACCACTAGGCAATAGTAAAAAATAATAAAACCAAAAGACAATAGTGTGCATGTAAGCTTTATGTAAACGGTCAGGTGAACAAACATCCATCCGCATCACAAATTCGACACTAATACGCAAAAAGTAAATTCCTGAACATCATCTGCGAATACTTGGATTCTAGGTTATATGATTTATTCCAAATGTTTGATGTCCTAATGTACGCGTTTGTTCTCTCGACTGTATATTAAGGATAAGAATGAGTTAAAGTTTATTGAGTCATATATTTATTACAATATATAAAACTTAGTTTTAAGAGCTTTCGAACCCCACCCCCATCTTCTATTTATTGTGACACGCATTCTATAAAGCGAACCAGATCTCAAAGTTCAATCCTATCTATATATATAATCTTCTATACTATATTCCTATACTTTTCTCTCCCATACTTTCAAGAATCTCAGGTACGCGTCACGGCAAAACTTAAAAGGGAATGCCGATGGACCTGTCCATTCACTCAATTATATAGTCCTCTCGACGATACTGGAAAATTAAAAACTAATTTATACAGTGTGGCGTCCTAATTTTTGCATGTATAGAATCTTTGTTTATACTCCAACTACGTCTCTGCTAACCATTTTAAACTAATTGCATGAGCAAGCCATAAATTGACTACCCAGCCAGATTCACATCAATATACCGTAAACACTGTAATATGAATATTTATTAGAATTAATATTAGAAACTTCTCGCCTTCATGGTTTCATTTTGAAGCTTTCGCGATAGGTTTATATACAAATTTTAGGCACTTCCCCCAACTCGTCAAGTTCTTTGCTTAATGCTCAAAGCCCACAAGTATAGCAATCAGACTTCCGATAATGACCCAAGCAAGTAATACAGTAACACTATTCGCAACAATCTTTTCCAATTTTCTTCGCTGCTTTTCAATTTTACTCCTCCCCATGCCTAGCATGACATGTTCACGCTCTTCTTCGCCAAACCAAAACAATAACGCTGTCGACATTGCATAGTATCCATCAAGTTGAAATGCTGGTAGAATATTGAATATACATAATGCTAGAGAGAATGATGTTATGTATCTACATGAATGGAAGGGGGGTTTTGTTAATAAATGACACCCCTTGCCACATGGCTGATGATGGGAAAGAGCTCTAACCTTAGCAGGGTTTCACAGAGTATAGGAATCCACGTCGGTATGAACCACCATCGAGGTTGTAACGTATTGACTTCAACTGATAATCAATAAAGGTTAGTTGATCAAAATATATATTGGGCAAGCGAAGCACATATATTACGTACCACTCTCCCACAGTCCAATGAACTCTCCCCAATACAAGACAATCTTTTCAGAAGCATTTTCCCATGCTGGCGGTTTATAGTAAATTCTTACAACTCTATTAGGCGATTCATTAGATATAAAAGGCATAACGCATCTTCCATTGGATGGGCAATCAGCATTCAAAGTGCAGCGATTACTGTCTGGAGTGCTAATTGTATTCATCGGAAGACAAGTCAACTATAAAAAGATAACTCGCATCAGTTCCGCGTTTGTAGCGTGGGGTGTCACTAAAAATTCTGCCATAAATCTTACTCTCTGATCAGGCTCTCTCTCTTCTGCATACTGAAAGCATACTAGTTCTTTATCATCAGCATTTCCAAATGGATGATCTGCTGTAATAGCACAGCATTCAAGAGACGCTTCTTTCGAATGCATTGAACAAAAACCAGGCTTAATTGGTGGATTATAATCTAATTGCTCGTGTTGGCGCAGATATTTGGTCCATTGTTCGAGAGAAGACCCATTTAAAAAATAGTCATCGAGTCTTGTTATCGTCCCAGATGGATTTGCTTCAGAATAGAGATCAGTATCCTGTGTATGTATGCACTAATCAGTATCACATAAAAATTCAATGTGCACAAGCATCCTTCGCTCTCACCTGGTCGACATTGACAACATTCACTCCAAACCCATCAGTTGACTTCCATCCCATAAATTGCATTGCACTCGGAATGACGCAAAAACTGATCAAAAGCCATCCAAGAGCAAATACTACTGCATTATGCCATACGCCAGCGCAAAAGATGCGGATTTGTTTGGCACACGGAAGAAGTGCTAAATTTCGAATAGGGATATCAACAAACGCACCGGGGTATAGGATTTGTATGAACACGCCAGTGCTACTAATTGTCACTTGTTCACTGACCAAGCGAGCACAGAAAGAATTAAGCTACTATGCAATATTAAATCATGCCGAATAATTATCCAAACTCACTTTGCTGCAGCGATTGCATGCCCAGCTTCATGAATTATTCCACATATAAACAATCCAATTAACACGTATCCAGCATGTGACAACGGAAGAGTGACACCGGGAAGCTACTAATTGCACGAATTTTACTAACCATGAAGAAAATTCCTACGCCCACAATTTGTACATACCACAAAATTTATGAACGAATTTTCTTCAAAAGTTTCATGTTCTACTGAGAGAGATCGTCTCATCCCATGGAAGCCATTATGCTGATGGCTATGGAATCCGAGGAATTCGAGCATCAACTTCCCTCCTACGAACACCATCAGTCCCACTCCGCATACCATAGCAAACATTCCGACCCACGCTCCAATCGTAAACCATATTCGCCAGAACTTGGGAGCTTTCAATGCCAAAGACTTGAAGAATGGATTTAGTGCTGTAGTAGTAATACGAACGTTGAACACAGAGGATTCTATAGTAGTACTCTTTGGCTTAAGCTGCTGTGTGTGTAGCGGCAAGTTTCTATCGAGTGTGTTGCGGGAGAGGTGCGCTTTCTGAGTTCAACGTGGATTGGTTAGCGTGTGTATCGATTGTGTTCGTAAAACAGTAAAATGGAATAAAATGAACCTTGTCGGGGAATTTCTGTTGTATTGTTCGTACTATGATATGTATTATTGCCCAGAATACTAAGAAATAGATTAGCAAGTCAATGGCAATCATGGATGTATAGATACCTAACTATGTGAGGGTTGATGCTATTATGTCAAAGAAAAGAGACAGAGAGAAGAAAATTAATACGAAACAGCGATCATTCATAAATCGATGGAGAACTAAAGATTTTTTATAATAAGATTACGATCTGGATGAAAGCAGTAAAGGACTGTAATACAAAACTTTACCCAATTTCAGTCTCTTATTCAACGTCATTCCATTTAAAAAATGAGTACTGTAAAGTCTTTTAGCCCGTAAATATTACAATAAAAGAGGGTTAGTTCCACTCACGCGGCCGATTTATTTCAGATCGATTATACAGTGCCTTTTGATGCGATCTTCATTGCTGTGATTTAATGGGCATCAGATCATTTAAACAGCCAATTATTATATAACGAAAGACACTTGTAAACTTTCGATTAGCAGGAAAGAGATTTGTGCTTTTTGCAATTCACCTAATAATACACTTGGCAAACTTCCCAAACTTTGAATTCGATTGGAGAGCGTTGTGTCTAAGAACCAAATCTTTCAGAGGGACTTTACCCGACCATGAACTCTGAAGTCTGCTATATACATAGATGACCAATATCTTCGTTAATGAACCATTGGTTTTCGAGACAACTAGTGATTAACGCTTAGTTTTGTCATTTTTCCGTCCTCATTAATTCTTCTTTTCAAGACACTATCGCTGCACATTAATTAAATTAATAGCGATAAGACATAATTTTTGCAGATCACTCATGGGTAAATGCCAAAATGTCATCGACACGATTATAATTATCATACCAAGAGTCCGCGCTCTATGTAGCCGCGATCCCTCTTGACAGATTTCTGCTCTGTGAAAAATTTACTCATATTCAGGTTCAGTTCTTCGCCATTGATCGTAAAGGCACCACAAGTCCCTACAACACGTAAGTATCAAGGCAGAAATTATCATCAATGCATAATTAGGAAGCAATATGCACAAGGTGGATGTAATAGGTTTATGGTAAAACTTTATTATTCGTCTTCTTTTGTAAGTACAGTATGATTGTATACATCTTGCAAACAACTGCTGCCAATAATACTAAAGCAGTTTGATTTGTAAATTCATCGAGCAGCCAAGTCGAATTATCATTAACAAGCGCAAATATAATGTACAACAGTTTACCCTTACATTTACTTTAAATGCACGTTAAAAGGTTTGGGAGGCCAAGTCAGTCGGCAGACTTTGCGATATCAGCAGATTTATCTGTCGAGGTCTCAGCTTCCGATGCAAGTGATTCGATTGTTCGATTTCGTTCCTCTACCTTCGTCTCTACTATCTTAATGCCTTTTCCCGGGGTTTCAGCTTCCGATGCAAGTGATTCGATTGTTCGATTTCGTTCCTCTACCCTCGTCTCTACTATCTTAATGCCTTCTTCCGAATTCTCCAGAGTTATTATATTTACATCTTTTGTCGATTCCTTGATTACTACTTCTTTATCCTTGCCAGTATCCTTAATTACTGCTTTCTTCTCAAATTCCTTGGTTAATATCTCCACTCCGAGATCTTCTTTCTTTAGCTGAGAAGCGATAACAGCGGGGATACCATATTGTTTTTTCAATTCAGCATGACCGTTAACACACAGCGTCTCCAATTCATCCTGTTCAGTGCGCATGATTATTAAGTAAACATCTGTGTGTAATAATTCATAGAATGTCAAATAAAAAAAGAAGCACGATATTTTACCTTCCATCCACATAAGTCGGCAAGTTTGCGCACTCCCTCATCACATGATCCCTTATAAAAAACATCCCTCACATATTTATATTTTCCTTCGAAATCAAAACCATATCCGGAGATACCGTGCTAAAGAAAGAGATCACAATTGTTTGAACACCCTGAAATTTCATTGTTCGTTCTTACAATACTCAGAAATGACATACCACTCCAGCAGCGTCACGATTGATTAATAGACGTGGAACATCTGAATCAACATTATCGATTAGACCAGCAAATGGCTGCACCTGTAATGATGTACCAATTACTATGAGCAGGTCGCATACACTGAAGTCCTAAAATAAAGAAGCAAACTGTCAAGTTAGTTGGAAAAAATCAAACACCCAAAACGTAACATGATCACTTGAACAAGCATATTCTATAATACATTACTTGCAGATGCCGAAAAAACTTGTCGGGTAGAGACTCTCCAAAGAATGTTATGCATGGTTTAACTATGCCTTTCTGACAGTGTGGGCACTTTGGAATCTCACCACTCAAGATCACTTCTCGCATCCACACCGGATCTGCCAGTTTTTTACATTTAAGACATTTGGCTTCCGCAAACGAACCGTGTGCTTCTACTAATTTGTCTTCGGGCACTCCAGCAAGACGCTCTAGAGTGTCTACATTCTGAGTAAAGCAACGGAGAAGTACTTGATGCTCATGAAGGAGCTTTATAAAGTAATGCGTTGCTGTTGGCTATGGCAAGAAATGACATTTTAGAATTCGTATATAAGAATTCACGCAATTTAAACTCGAACGTCCTCGCATTCAAATTTACCAAGTAATTCCCCGGATACAATTCTCTTGCTAGCTCAAAAAACGGTTCTGGTTTGAGCTAAATTATAGATAATAAATTAATATTAACGAATAAGTTTTCATAATCAAACGTACGGACTAACTCACCCGGAAATATTCTATGTCAAATATGGCCTCGGGATAGGGCAAGTCATATTTTTGAAGATTGTCGTATAGACCGGTGCCAGGTGATCGAAAATCCGGGATACCTATGTGATAATAGACAAGCTTTACTACAACAAAGCTAACGACCTGCATACTCTTAAATGTTTTGATATAAAGACATACCAGCATCAGTCGATATTCCAGCACCTGCCATTACTATAATATTCTTTACTAGATAAGACATTGCAGCGTAAAAAAAGGTGTTAAAATTATAAACATCAAAAACAAAAGGAAAAGCGTCTTGTTAATTCTAACCTTTCCCTGTCTTTATCAACTCTGCTACAGTTTCAAGTTTTGGCGGATCCAACACGTAAACGTGTTCTTCGCTTGCCTTGTTCATAGACTCCCATATGGACTAGGGAAGAGTTTGACAGTTGAGTAAACCATATAAATGACTAACATCACCAAACTTTTGCTATTACCATTATCTTGGAGAAAGTACTTGTAGGAACTGATCCTAAAGAATCATTGTTTGAAGAGGTTTCTTCTGAAGTATCATTAGTTGAAGAGGGTGCTTTTGAAGGATCGTTCTTGGACATAATAACAATGAATTCAAAGACGTCTCCAACGACTGAACGTACATTGTCGAATTTGATAACTATAGTTGAATTTGATAGGACAGTCATCCTCATGACTTTTCCATTTTTGTCGAACGAGTCCGACGATGGACTTTCTGATAGCAATTTCGGCTAGAACTTTAATCACGTGAAATAAATCTACTTACTTGTGATGGGAAAAAATTTTCCTTACATCTATCTTATCAAGGTGGAACGACATTCTCTGTCTTCCGTTGTACGGTGTGGACATATTTAATATCTACTAACCGATCCCGTCATTTAGAATACATAGAAATGAACGCTGACAAGCTAGCCAAGATGCAAGCCCAAGTCCGTATTGGTGAGTTATTGGAAAGGCAATGTATTTCTGTCAAAGTCAACCACACTGAATTTTTGCTCATGGGTCAGGCGGAAAGGGATCACCACGTCGTAAGATGAAGAAAGTTCACAAGAGCGCTACAAATGATGATAAGAAACTCAAATCTGCTCTTAATAAGCTCAAACCTCATCCGATCCAGTCAATTGACGAGGTGAATATGGTTAGGGAAGATGGAAGCGTACTTCATTTCCGTTCGCCGAAAGGTAAATATGCACAGAAGAATCCTGGCATCAATCAGGACAAATTCTAGTCGGATGATACTACACAGTCACTTTTGTCAATCGACTTATCCGTTACGCCCACTCGTTTGACCGCAGTTCAAGCAGCCGTTCAATACAATACGTTTGTGATCGAAGGTCCGGCCGAGGAAAAGAGCGCAGAATCAAACCTTGAAATGCTTCAAAAGCTTAACGCAAGCCTGTCCCAAGCATCACAAAATGTGGCTACCGAGGCTGATGACGAAGAAATTCCTGCATTAGTAGAAGATTTTGAAGCCGAGACGGAGAAGGCGACCGATGAACAGTAGCGTTGTCACTCTATTGTAGTGTCGCGCGTACGTTTAAATAAAGAATCGTTTGGTGCAGCCTTTTTACTGTAACGTGTGTTTATTTCTCCTCGTCTTTAAACATTGTTGTTCAGTCTAGCTGCCATCAAATTTATCCGCAGTGCATTTGAGCTAATACTAACTTTCTGGTTAACCGATGTTTTGATTTGTAGCTTAAACGAAGGCTTTAAGGATCATTGTATACAAATAGTAATGTAAGGTTCGTATATGGATGGAAAAGATTTGTTTCTGTGTCGCGCAACTTGGTAATTTCATCCAGACTTATTTACTCTATGCTTTGTTGAATTTGATAATAAAAGATATAAATACGCATTCTCACAGTTATTTGGAAGGCAAAGAGAATAATAGTTGGAGAACTTGTAGTATCACAAAAAACTTTTAAATTACTGCCATGAGGATGTTCTTGAACTACGTCAAAATTCCTGGGTTCGCCAATTGTCTGAGGGCGAAGAGGAAGAAGATAAAATAAAACGGATATATCTAACCTTTTGTGTTCGCTACCCTTTTTTTTTTTTTTTTTGTGGGTGGGGGGATTTTTCCAGTACGTTCCCAGTACGTGAGAGAGCTTCTTTCCTTAGCGGTTCAGTATCATTTACCATATTTGGTATGCTACACAATTAATAAGAGCCCGAGATATAGAATAGTCTCACACAAAGAGATTGAAGATGGTTGACATCTATTCATAATAACAAGGGGGCTAAGTCGTATTATTTACAATACTCTCTTGTGTCATGGTATGAATTGCTCAAAAATAATCATTCAATAAAAATCTAGGCTAGAGCTACAGACGTCCCGAAAGTGGTATTGGTGAATTTTAATAAAACTTGAAAAAGCTTTCTTTTCGAAAATATAATAAGATATACATCAACTGGGTCTTTCTCATGTATATAATGCGAAGGCATAAAGGTCATCATTTCAATCTGATTCAAAGAAGAAACATTCTATATCGTATATTAATATTGGCCGTGACCTTGATCACCACGTTTTCATAATTCAATATGTAACAACTTTGAGGCTTCAATCGACTAATTTTCAAGGAGAACGTATCATAGCTGTTTTCTTCAACACAGTCGTAAATAATCTCATTTACGTTAATTAATAAAGACAAACGGGTTAAACAAAAACGGCTTTGCATTATACGTTAAATTTTGGGGGGCACTTGCCGATCTATCATAAATGTCACATCAATAATTTCTTCACATGATCTAGATTTTCCAGTTTTTTTGACCACAAAATTTACAATAGATAATGCCAATCGCCATCATTCGAGGAATCAGTCCGTTGGGTATTTTCCTGGCATCAGCAATATTAAACAATACGAAACTAGCAGTCGTTTATGAAACTAGAGAACCAGCGTGGACTTCTACTAGGAAGCATATTCCACAACGACTATGGCCGTCATTAGAGAGAATAGACAAGTTTGAAACATTTGTTAGTAACGGACGCACGTTTGAGAAGCTTGTCGACCATGTTAAGTATAAATACGGGCAGGAGTCGGTGCGACTCGTCATCGATGTCTCTAATTACATAAATAAAGGAGAGGGATCTATCGAAAACGCTGGATCGAGGACTTGCAAGAGCTGTTACGAACACAACGTTTATGGATTGGCGATGTTGATGAAATTCGCAGGGCCTCTTCTGCAGACAAATTTCAGCCGCGATAGTTTACCAGGCATGGCAATAGTGCTTAGCACCAATTATGTTGAATCTACTATTTCCGATGATGAGAAAACCAAATTTCTGACACAACTCGACAGTACAAGGTGAGTAAAGAAATGTTGAATGTATGATTTCGATTGACAAAAGGCCGGTACCACGCTAATGACACCTTTTTTTCTCAGCAATCTTTACAAAGATATAGACTTTCGATACTCATTTAGAATGACAAAGTGAGTTTGCGAGTTGCCGCGCGCGTAAACACGTTTTTTAAAATTGTTTTTTGGTCGACTGATATTGATCCAACTATTTTATCAATGTCTTTATAGGACAGCCCAACTCGCATTATGTAGATCTATTGCCAACGAATTCGAATTAACAAAGCGAAACGCTGTTGCCCTATCGGTATATCCTCGGTTCCTAAGCAGAGCCAAGCACCCAGATGGTAATTTTATGGGACCAGATCTAACTGCCTCGTATATATTTGAGTTGATTACCGCACTGAGTAAAGAAGAAAATGGCAAATTCGTTGATTTGGAGGGTGTACCAATACCAGAATGATGGTTATTAATGACTTTAATAAACTGTAGTGAGGACTGATTACATAGTCGCATCATCGTTTTGTGGAACGCGAAAGACGCGCTGAGAAGCCATAAATCTGAATAATAACAAACATACTATTTAGTGTGTGAGTTACAGGCTATGAAATTCAGAGATTTCGTAACGTACATGGCAGCTTGCGATATTCCAAAGTTTTGAATCTGTTTCAGTTGTTCCGAAGTCGTCTCGATCTGTCGTTCTAGCGTAGACATGTTTGTCTGTAGACGCGCAAACTGGTTATGAAGGGCATTATATAGTCGTTGTTTATTAAGAGTTGCTCTACTATCAGCGTTTATATGCTGTTGTATCTGTGGCTGTTGTTTCTGCGCGATTGGCCTCATTGTGCGTTGTCAATTAGTGACACCGCGCGACTGGAAAATTTGAAAGATTTCGCGTTAGCAGTATTTTATTAGCCAATCAACGACAACACTCGATTTTTGATTCCCAAGTACATATCATAATAATAATGATATTCAAATCCTCCTTTGTTTGCTATATTCGATGGATGAAGACGACATTCCCGAGCTTGTTGAAGAAGAAAGTCTAGAGGCAGTTCCAACGTGCGTAGAAAAAGTCTGTTTTTTATCACTGAGCCACATTAACATGCTTGTTGTTTGTGAACCAAGTGAAACGGAACTCGTCACGGAGAAGGTACCCGTTACTATAGTGACTGGTATGGTTTATCAAGACAACCTATACATAACATGTATCACCTCGATAATTTGTCTTGTCAAAATAGGGGCGCTGATACATTTACTGTTCTCTCAGGCTTCTTGGGCTCAGGAAAGACAACTTTGCTCAATTACATACTCACCGAACAACATGGTAAACGCATAGCCGTAATTCTTAACGAATTTGGTGAAAGTGAGTGTTCCGTTAAATTTAATACTGTAAAGCGCGAGTACTCTTGGTAATTGTTTATACGCTCTTCTGACAAGGTAGTGGTATCGAGAAATCCTTATCCATCGGAGTCGAGGGCGAATTGTTTGAAGAATGGCTGGAATTGAGTAATGGCTGTTTGTGTTGTTCTATCGTGTATGTTATTATTTGCACTCCGTTTTTATTGTCTTCGATTAAATTATTTGCTCAAAATTTGTTTGTCCAGTGATAAAGGTGTCAAGGCAATAGAGAATTTGATGCAGAAAAAAGGAAAGTTTGACTACATTTTGCTAGAAACTACTGGACTCGCTGATCCCGGTAATTATACCACATGAATAGTGACTAGTATAGATTTTAGTCGCAAGTCTAATTTTATTCAATTCGCTCTATCTAGGCCCTATTGCGTCGATGTTTTGGCTTGACGAAGCTCTCTGTAGTGACATTTATTTAGATGGGATAGTCACGCTTGTTGATGCAAAGCATATTCTTCAGGTAACGTTTAATAACAATGCTTTTTTTTTTGCGAGGCTTTTCGTCGATTCTGCCTTACACCCACACTGTTTCGCCAGTATATCGCCGAGACGACGAAAGATCATTCTATCAACGAGGCTATAAGGTAACATGCGTGAGGCTATATATGTCTATGAGATTTGCATGCATGACTAAGTATATTACGTCATTCAAAGACAGATTGCCACAGCCGATAGAATAATAATAAATAAAACTGATTTAGTGACACTGTTGGATCTGGACACGATTGAAAGACAATTAAGGTAATCCTTACCACAGTCAAGGAATAGTTCATGTGCAGCTGCGATTTCATTCGTGTTGAATTTGCTAATCCTCTTATCCATTCTTTATTAGATCGATTAATGCTACAGCTGAAGTAAGACGAACACAACAGTCAAGGTAGAGAAACTTTATTTTTTTTAGGTGAAGCTAAAAATGTCGTGTGTAATAACAATCATATTTTACATGAAGAATACCTTTAGACTTTATTCTTGATATCCATGCGTTCGACATAAAGATCCATTCCCAAACGTTGCTTGCATTTGATGAGAAGCCAGGTCATCCGCATTTGGACGAGGTATGGATTCCTAACTGCAAATTAGTCGTTGCCTCCGGGACAAAACTGACTCACTACCATTTTTAACAAGGACGTGCGAACAGTTTGTCTTGCTCTTCCGTATCCATCAATTAAGATTTCGCTAGTGGAAGAATGGATTCAAAAGCTTCTTTGGGATAAGACAATTCCAAATACCACGATCAATATAGTAATTCTTCGATTAAAGGGTATTCTCACACCAGAGGATTCTCCATTGACGCGCATTATTGTTCAGGGGGTTCAAGAACTGTATGATTTTCAATATGCAAAGACAAATGCAGACGATCAAGTTACTGAAGATAAACTGGTATTAATTGGGAGAAATCTAGACATACAATTACTAAAGAATTCTCTGTGGCAATGGATGGGTTGGCAATTATCAGATTTATAGAATAGGATGAATATGAGTGCATCGCCTGGGTGTAATACGCCAATTCAATCGAAAGACTGTACATCTTGCCAAGCAATGCAAATATTTTATTATTATTGTCGATGGCTGAGAATAAATTTCAACGGATATCAACAACGATTCTTCGATAGTACAAGTCAAATTTTTGTGTTGTATGCACCTGTGATTGCTAACTGAATTATAAATTGACAAACTTATATCTCTTTATCGAAAGTGCAAACGCAAGGATTTCTGATGCCTTATTAACAACAGTGTTACACAGGGTATATTATTAGTTAGCACTCCTTGTCTAATTAATTAATAATTGGCCTTTGTATTCTTTGAGCAATATAATTATGATTATATAATGCGACTAAAATGAAGGAAATAAAAACATTGAAACCACAAATTAGCGATAATACACATTGTAATCACCAATATGCTGGTGGGGATAACAACGCTCGGACATAATAAAGCCTTTAGCGTCATGTGGAAGGTGAATTATCTGTGTTCTTTCAGTAAGGGTATGTGAGGCTATTAGTCGCCGAACGTTGCGATTATGACTTGCTGTTACGAGGGTATTATCTTAATAATGACGTTAGTCGTATTAAACAATGGGTGGAGAGCATACAGATAACCATCAAACTTTTCGCCAAGAAAATACAACTTTCCCACTATTTATAACTACAACATACCGTAGCTTTACCATATTTTTATTCTTAGGGAATTTCTATATTTGCGAATTATGTTTCTATGTTCAGCAACCAATATTAGGAATATTAACAGAAATCGCGGGCTTTATAAACCAACGACGTTGTAGCACCCTATTCGCTATAAAATTCAGTATGCTGATTGAAAAACCGTCGGAATATGCGTTCAAGAAGAAATCATTAGTGATAATATTCCAACGCGCTTATTGTTGGTATCCAATTCCCAAAGTGCAATTGTTCATTGGGAAGCGAAAAGGTAAAATTTGGCAAGATAGAGGTATTCTAAAGCTGCAAGTACACTTATTTATTACTTGGAAGATGAACAATGTCCCCCATTTGTGCAACGGTTATTACTATATCAGATCTTCGAAACTTCCAAGATCCTAATCCTCAGAGTCAAACTAATGTATTAATGACATCGTGGGTTCAATAGTGCGTTTAGCTGTTTATTTTGCGGAAATACGTAAGCATAAGAATAAACGAACGCGTCCTTGTACATTTCTTCTCATTGTCGAAAATAACTGCATCCACTCTCGCATTCCTAACCAAGTGAATATCTTGCCATGTATGAGAGCCTATAGTGAAGCGAATTTGATAGGATGTAGTGGGAATCTCTAAAAAGATTTAATATTAAATGTGGGGGAATGGTCAAAATCTCATGCTTCGAGCGTGTCCTAACTCAAATAGGATTAGTGACTATTGACTAAATCGAATTGTCTAAACTTCATGTGTGAAAAGATTTACAACCAATTACTTTGGTTTAAAGCGACTTTTGAGTTGGGGGGAAATTCTCGGGGGGAATAGGAATTACTAATATGCGTTCGTAAGACGGGGGTAAAATTCCAGTTATAAATATGGGAAACATTGTTTATTGTTATATTCCAGACGTTTCATTTAGGTCAATTTCCTTTATAACACAAATACCTTTTAGGGAATTCGTCCACATAAGAAATGATTTCAAAAATATTAACGCATTCCTTATTACATACCCAAAAGAAAAGATCCCTTGTCCTTGATTCTGCTAAAACTTCCTCCATTTCCACTATAAACTACAGCAATATTTCCAATGTCCGGGAACAGCGGCAACGGAGGAAGTAGCAGCACTCGAAAAACACCAAATAACACATCCGGTTCCTTATTAGCATATACGACTAGGGATCAAAGTACCTACCCTCCATCCTACAATAGTTACTCACAACAGCAGCAATTATTTGCCCAGCTAAAAGCGACTCATCCACACGAACTACAACCCACTTCGCACCAACAATCATCTAACGGACAATCACGAGCGAAATTCGCTCTTGGCGATTTCACCATCTGTCGTACACTGGGTACGGGGTCATTCGGTAGAGTACATCTCGTGCAATCTAAACGCAATACAAAGTACTATGCTATGAAAGTACTGAAGAAATCCGAGGTCGTTCGTTTGAAGCAAGTAGAGCACACGAACAACGAAAAGCATATATTGGAGCAAGTCAACCATCCGTTTCTAGTCAACTTGTGGGGGACTTTTCAGGATTCTGCCAACTTGTACATGGTTATGGACTATGTTGCTGGTGGGGAACTATTCAGCGTGCTCCGAAAGTCACAGGTAGTTATTCTATCATTGTCCCTGTTTTTCTAGATACGCATTTCGATACCCCTCCTTAATGTGTATATTATTTACGATCTGAATGCAGCGCTTTCCAGACTATGTAGCAAAGTTCTACGCTGCAGAAGTTCTCCTGGCCTTTGAATATTTGCATTCCAAAGACATAATTTACCGCGACCTAAAGCCCGAAAATCTCCTACTCGATCGCGATGGGCACATAAAAATAACTGACTTTGGATTTGCAAAGTATGTTCCTGATATAACTTGGACTTTGTGTGGGACGCCTGATTATCTCGCACCAGAAATAATCCAGTCAAAAGGATATGGCAAGGCAGTTGATTGGTATTCTTTAGGCGTGTTAATCTTTGAAATGCTTGCTGGATATCCACCCTTCTATGATGAAGATCATATGCGGCTTTACGAGAAGATTCTTGCTGGAAAAATAAAATATCCGAGCTCGTTCGAGTCGAACGCAAAGGATTTATTAAAAAGACTATTGACGGCAGATTTATCCAAGCGATATGGCAACCTGAAGGGTGGAAGTGAAGATATAAAGCGTCATAAATGGTTTCAAGGAACCGATTGGGATAAACTATTACGAAAAGAAGGGAGGGCACCGTATATCCCACAAATCAGTGGTGACGGTGATGCTAGCAACTTTGATGTTTATCCGGAAGAGCGGGAACCTTATGGAGCGCCATGCTCTGACCCATACAGAGAAAAGTTTATGTCATTCTAATGAATATTCAAAAGATGTTGCTGGAGTATAGAGATGGTGTTTTTGGTAATGGTAATGTTGAGGGGAGAATCGAAACCTAAATTTGTGGGTTATTAATCTAAAATTGAGAAGAAATCGCTGGACATTCACTCAAAAAAGAATAAGCACTAGAAAATGCCTATTTCTCCCATCTAGTGGACAATAGACTTGGTATTAGTGTAGTTAATTGTTGAAGAGCCAGACGTAAATTAATAGTTATCTGAATGCACGGCAATAATGTCTGTTTTTTTATTGCCGTTTGTTTATTCCTTTCCCATTTTGTGATTTTCTTTGCTTAGCGTTAGCACTAAACAGTAAAAAAAGTAATCCTGATTGTAAAACTTATCTCCTCGTTATACATATACATGTTTTGTTCTCACACGTGATCATTTACTCACATGATTATCTTGAGATTATCACCAATACTTTCTTCACTTGTCTTTATTCTTATTATGCAAACTCTGCAACTAAACCAAACTCAATTGCTAGCCACTGAAGGGGAGGTCGTCCAAGTCACCCTACTTTTACAACGAACGTAAGTGTGACTTGAAGCCAGCTACTATGCATTTAATACAGATCCTTACCAAGATGTCAACTTGTCCAGAGATGAGGCAGCAAGGCATACACAAGAATATGCAGATAACGTTGACCTTCAAAAAGAAATTATGGTAATAGCCTCGTTTTTTGTAGTTCAAAGTTGGTTCTACTTATTGGCGTTTGCTTTGTTTACCCCAATGTAGTCTGTCGTTGTTAGTTGCATCCTCTTGAAACTGAAGGATCAGATGATTATTGGTACAGGCTATAGGCTGCAATGCAGTAAGTTATTCTTAATTCTGTTAAACTATTATCACGCAATAAGCTAATACACTTATTGGCATAAAAGCACGTCGTCTTTGGGATCTCGGGCGGCGCTACGTATTTAAAAAACGAAACGAACAGCTCATTCCACACCCGTACAAGTATATGTTTGTTTTAGAGATAATACCGGAAGGTGAGTTTGGCGTTTTTATCAGACATACGTAAAGCAAATGCTACACATGCAGCTTACTAACTAACAGACGATGTACATGATTAAGATAGACCAGAACGTGTAATGCAAGGAACGAGACACGAGTGACAACCCATGTTATTCTTTACCTTACTGTATCAAGGCGGAGCATATTAAATAGGCTAATGGATGCATACAGCCTACAATGCTCTATTGACTATTGTGAATAATAGAGCTAAATAACCTGCCTTTGCTAGGGATTGCCAGTTGAGGTTGCTCTATTTTATGGTGGTCATCGCAATTGAATATTCAGGCTAAAAGTCGTATATCCCCTCTTGTCATGTAATAAGACACGTGATACTTATCACTTGACTTAATTTTTTCGAGTATTTTCATTACAAATTCGATTGAGAAAGATTAGTTTGTAAAGTTAGGATGATTACCAGATTTTCAAGTTATCACTGTTGGCCAGCATTTTGGCGCGTTAACTATTTTTTTTCCCACGGGAGAACCAACATGCGTCAGGAAAAAAACACACAAAATTGAAAAAGTATAAATACTATTTAGTTAAGTTCTTTTAACCGGGTAAACAAGGTTTATTTCCAATAGCAACCTTTCCAATCTCTCATTGTTGTAACTTTATTGTACAAGTATGAACCATTTATCTCCGCAGTAGCCATATAACGTGTCAATCAGATAACCAATATAACGACATATCTCTTAAATAGCAACATGACAACAGCAATTACAATGATAAGCAAACTTAAGTACCTTGTTAAGATCCACCTTTTTGCAGTTGCAGTTGCAGATGCTAATTAAGGAGCCACGTTGGATTAAATTATAACGCATTATCTTACGTAGTATAAAGTTAATAAAAAATATATATTTGTTGTACTGCATGTCAGAGAATATCCTACGAAAGTATAGTGTTCAATAAACAACAATTCTACTATAGAAATAAGGACTGCAAACTTGCCATTTAAAATTGCTAGCTAACTATAGTAAAAATTATGTAATAGTAAACTTGGAAATTGTGTCATTACAATTTTATCTGAAATCTTGTAGACTGAATAGTGGGTAAAACATCTATTATGACAAATATCAACTTCTCCTATGGTCAACAAGCACTTTATTCGGATGTTACAAGACTAATGGATCAAGAGTTAATAATACAATACAACATTATTAATAAGAGGAAGATTAAGACGGATATAATAGACTAAAAGTGAAACGCGTATCTATTATATCGACTTCTCCTCAATTTGAAGTACACTATATTGATAACTTGTTCTCTCTGAAGTCGATGGCGAGCTTACTTTGTGAATGATAATTTGCGTAATATTTATTGTATTAGACACAGAATAGCGTGTTCGAATTTGATTAAAACTTGCTTATAAGATAATCGAATAAATAAATAATACTAATTTTTATACTGTAAATAACTTTCTCTTCACGTCAACGTATTGTCCATCATGTCTTTATACCTGAAACTCAATTGACATCTCATAACTATTTCTTGGCTTAGGTAGATCTCCAGTAGGTAAGAGCTTACTAGAATATTTACTCTCCTTCTCGAGACGTGATAAGGGTTTTACATCATTATGATAAACGGAATTCCATGTGTTGTCATCAGAATTGTCCTTGTTCACCTCTCCAATAAGTTTGTAAATATAATCGTCAAGTTCCCCTGCATCTGGACGCTTATCAAGATCAGCATCACAACACCGCTCGGCAAGTTTCTTGTATTCCTCTGGTGCGGAATCAG